TGTTCTTAATTTCCTCCTCAGAGACCAATTCTCCTAAAAAAGGGTAAATGAAAGAGGCACTCACAGCTGGGGGGACCCCCCCATGTGCTTCCGTACCCTCTCTTCACAGGACCTCTTTAATCCTCACAACAACACAAAAAAGCTGTGGTCATAATCACTATTTTACAGATGAGTAATAGAGAATCAGAAAGATTCAGCGACTTACTCAGTGTCACATAGAAATGAAGTGGTACAACCAGGCCTTAACCCATACCTAATTTTTTAAATTAAAAATTATTGGGGTGACACTGATAAACGAAATCAAATAAATTTTAAGTGTTTCATTCAGCAGTAGGTCGTAGATGTATGGCACCACCCAGTGAGATTTCCTTCTGTCACCAAATATTTGACTCCCCTCCCCCATAGCTATTTAAATACAAAGTCTTTGTTCCTTATTCTAAACCACATGGCACCATTGTTCTAAATGCGAAGTTAGATTAAATCTTTAACAGTGTCCAGGAGTAACAGACTCTTGCTGAGTACATGACTTATAAGTATTCAATGACTTCTGTGTACTCAGAAATAGGGTATGGATAGCGCTAGAATTTTTGAGGGGTAACTTGCAGGAGCATCTCTGATTGGGGATGGTATGTATATAGTCTTAGAGTGAATGAACTTTCCAGAGGTGGCTGTTCATGAGTAAAGAGGAAGTTGAATCCACCTCTGGAAAGTTCATTCACTCGAAGACTCCACTTGAACGTGCGCTGGTGTAACTGGGTGATGCGAACCCACTGACGGGCCTGCCAGTCTCGCTGGCTATCTCGGTAGACGGCCAGCGCTCTTCCTGGGCTACGTTTCCCGCCAAATCAAAAGATGCCGTGAAACTGACACTGCTGCCACATTAGTCCAGGTGCCACTTATATGGGGAGGCAGCACAATCTTGCGGTCAGAAAAGACAGACTCTGGCGGTAGCCGGCCTGGGGTCTGAGCCTGCTCCGCCACGCACCACCACGGGGTCTTGGGCAAGTTACCAAACTCCTCTGTGTCTCGGTCCCTCAGACCTAAGGTGGGGGAAATAGCAGCACCACCTACAAGGGATGTCGTGAGGATGGACTGAGATAAGACCCGCAAAGCACTGAGGACGGTGTCAGGCCGGTTCCCACTTCGTCCTGTAGATTTGCCGTACTCAGTGGATAGCCGAGCCCCGGTGGAGATTTTTAGTGTACGTGCTCTACTTCTCCGCGAATCTCTGAAGCTTGCCGGGGGTATTTCAGCAAACTGTTCCCGCTGCACAGCGTGCTGGTGTGAGACGGGCCGGCTAACGCAGGCAGTGGGAAGGAGGAAGGAAGGAAAGAAGGAATCAGAGTCTGCTTAGCCACCGTTCTTCCCATAATTACCCCCAAACAGCAGACTCTCTGTGCAGACCCCGCAGTAGTGGATCCCGACCTTTTCAAAGAAGGGCTTTATTTTCACTTCCGTGAAGTCTTGAAATCATCGAAAGGGGAAGCCAAGTCTGAAACACCTCAGTGGAGCCGAGGAGGGAGCACTTCTACTGGCTGTTCTGTTTCCAAACGGAAAAGCACAGTATCCACGGCAGCCCAAGAAGGCCCATACTGTGAATTAAGCTTATCGCCTGTTCTAAGGAGGGCTCCATGGTGACTTTAAAAGGCACCTGGCTCCAAGGAAGGAAGAGAAAAAACTGATACTTATTGAGCATTGACTGCTTTCACACATATAATTGCATTTGATCTTTCCAACAGCCCTGCCGGAAAATGCAGGAAAATGCTGTTTTGAGGAAAATGATGCTCAGAGGCTTTAGTGACTTGTGGAGGCGACTTCTTTATCAGTAGCAATGCCAGAATTTGAACTCAGGACTTTGCTGACCTGCAATGAATTAGTAGTAGGGGGCCACTTACTTTGTTTAACAGATATTTATCGAGTTCTTCCTATGTGCCAGGAACCGAGGTAAATGGCAAATACGTAGATGCAGAAGAGGACAGACTAGATGAGGCTCTACTCTCACGGGAACTAGAGGCCAACGGGGAAGCTGACACATGGAAATCCATCCCATCGATATGCATTTTAATCTCCGTGGGCAAAACCAAGGATTGGCAAGTTAATCAAGGGCTGGGGGAAGCCTTCTGATGGGAAAAAGTCATACTGGCAAATGTGCTGATTCCTTTCTGTGCTGCCCAGAGCCCAGAGTTGGGCACTTTAGAGGTACTTCAGCTCCTGCCGTGAGAAGAAGCAGCTGCAAAGTATCCGAGCACTCACAGAGCTGATGGCCTGCCTCTCCTGCACTCTCAATTTAAAGCTTCTGAGGGTGAATAAAAAGTTACTTGTAAATTTGCCTTCATTACCAGATTATAAAATCCTGAAGAACAGAGACCGTGTTTTAATGAATGTTTGAGTCTCGTCCAGGGCACGGATAGCACTTTGCACAACAGAGTTCCACAAATGTCTCTTGCGCTGAATATAGTTGAATTGATCAGAAAGAAGACATGTCTGGTCTTCCTATCTCTAAAAAGCAGTGTTTTCCCCTGTGGCAGAAACGATTACTAGTGACACCATATGCACCGCTCCCCCCGTCACCCCATGGCCCAGCATCCTTGCAGGCAGGCAAGGCGCGTGACGAGTTCTAGGCAGTAATCTCTGAACAGATGTGAAGTATGTCCTTCTGGGACAAAATGTTTAAGGGCTGATGGACAAATCTTTAGCTCCTACCTTCCCTTGCCATGGTGATGTTTTAGAAGGTGGAGGCTTTGTCTGCCTAGATCCCTGACTGCATGTGTGGGACGCAGCCCGTCCCTTTACAGTACATGTTAAAACGATGTAGCACAAGTCAAAAATAAACTCACATGTTGGGCCATCGAGAGTTCAGGGTTAACTTGTTACTGCAGAATAGCCTTGTCCATACTGACTAATACGGCCCTCAACTGCTGAAATCAGAGTGACACTGTGGTGAGGCTAGCCCTGCTGGTCCCCTGGGGAGCTAAAGCCAGGGCTGAGTCAGAGGGTCAGAGGCAATAGCAGTATCCATTTATGGAAAACAGCTAAGTCCAGTGGAGTCTTTGGCTTAGAACCAGCTGTGTTGATGGAACCCCGTGTGTGCCACGGAAGTGCCCCGGGGAGCCCTGGTGATGGGGAGGAGCTGGAGCAAGGAAAGGACGCTGCCCCTAATGTTAAGAATGAAAACTCCACTTTTTCCTATATTTTATATTGGGCTTTCACGGAAAACTTTGTCACAATGTTTGTCTTTTAACAGTAATTTTTTTTTTTTTTTTTTTTTAAGATTGGGTCCATGGAAAACTTTGTCAAAACATTTGTCTTTTAACAGTAATTTTTTTTTTTTTTTAAGATTGGGAATCATCACATTCACAAAGGAGAAAAATAGATAAAATCAAAATGACTATTCTAGGCAAAAAAAAAAAAGAAAGGATTGGGCCCAAATGTAAGTTATAGTCTACTTGTCCCCAATAATTTTCAGAAAAGACTATTTTATTCTTACTTTTTCATTCTTTAACTACTTTCAGAGATGAGTTCCTTTTCCCTCTCATAATTGCATTTTAAATGTGGCAGCTATCTGCCCCTTAGCGAGTCACTTGTCAGTTATTGTAATTGGTATCTTTCTCTGGTTTAATTCAACTAAGGCCACCGAGCTGCTGTTACTGAGGGATGCCCCAAAGAGCGTCTCCAGAAAAGCAGTATTCTGCCAGTGTATGAAGCGACCAGCACATCCTCACCTTCCAAATGGACTCTCTCGTTTTTTCATTTGGATAAAGATGAGATATAGAAATGTGTAAGAGAATTCTACCAGAAAGAGCCCTGATTTTTGGTATCTGGATGAGGTCTCATCGTCTCAGAGTTTTCATTTCTCTATTTGAAAAAAAACAGAGTGGGGGAGGTAAGAGGAAAAAATAATATGTACCCTATCTATCCCAGAGTATGGCTGTGAGGATCAAGTAAAGTCATAAATGAGAAATTTCATAAGAAATATATATAAATATGAGATGAAAGTACTTGTATGTCTAGAATTTGTAAGTCAGAAATGGATCTATAAGAAGAGGCTTTGGCAGGCTGCTAGCGTGTCGTTTCTTGAATGCGATATGAAGGATTCTGTAGCCCCCTCACGTGTGGAAACCTCAGCCACTTCAAGGACACAGTGAGGCTTTCAGACGACCTTCGGACCACAGACTGGGGCCAAGGCACACGGCTCCTGCTCTCACCGGGGAGAACGTAAATCAAAGGGGGACACTTCACTCTTTAATCGTAAGTCATTTCCTCTCCAGAGCAGTTCAGAGTGCCCTGAAGTGACCACTGTCACAGAAGCTAAGAACAGTAGCGTAGCCAAACCAGATAAGCTTTTTATTGCCCTATTGTCTAATTCTCTGAAAACTAGAGGCAATAATTAAAATAGAGACACTCTACTGCCCCGTTTTTTCCTTAATATTCACAGACCAAAACTGTCCCTTTTAGACTCTGTTATTCTGACTCAGGAAGGTAGAAGGAGTTATGTGGATTGTGAGCACGCGGACACGTACACACACACACATGCACACACACGACAAGGACGCCTTGTAAAGATAAACAGTAAAGACTATTACTATTTAGTTTTTCTCTTCTAACTCCTAGTTGATATACTACTGCATTAATACTCTCGTCTTTGAGTTACCTACTTTGCCCATCTTTATAAATGTCTCAAATGTCTTTCAAAACGCAGGAAATGAGTTTCTATGAGCCTGCGACTCAGTTAACCGACACTCAGGGAAGGAAATCACTGTGCCGGAGGGGGCATGGAAGTCCCAAAATAGAGACCTGACCTGCCAGGCAGCACTTGGTCTTCACACTCTCTGTAAAGAATGCCATTGACACCTTCAGTCTCACTGACTTGGGCTGCGGGTTCTTTGCACCTGAAAAGTGCCCTCTTCCTAACTGCTCTTGCAGAAATCCTACAACCTCACACCGTTCCCTCGTTCCCTCGGTACTTCTTATCACTTATCCAGGAGCCCTGACTCACTTACCCAGGGGAATTTTTTCCAGCAGGTAGAGATAGCTCTGAAAGAAGTCATCACGAATGGCTTTGTGAAGGATGAAGGACATGCTGTGTCGACAGAGTTCATCGTCGGTCTTCTGCCAGCGGGATCGAAATGCGAAATGGGCTCCCAGGTGGGCCATGCAGAAGGGGCTGCTGTTATTCCCGCGGAGGAAGGAGGCTTGCCTGGCTGTGTCTTTGAATTAGCCTTCTCTTCCTACACGAACTTGAGACTGTCATTTTAAACCAGTCCGTTGTCCATCTATATCAGGAGAGGCGTCATGGGGTGTGGGGGAGGAGGGGCAGCAGACGCTGGAGGTCAAGCTCTTGGCACATCCACCGTCTGATTGCTTGGGCGACACCACTGCAAGCCAGCAGGTGCCAAGAAAGATGAAAACAGGCTGAGTGAGATCCTGCTTCATCCTGGGAAAAGCACGCCTCTCTCCTTTAGCTGCCACTTCAAAGGGGCAGGAGCACAGCCTGCTAACACCCTGGATATTTGCTTTAATTCGATTCCTAAATTGGAATAGTCTAATTTCCATTTCAAAGAGTTGTTGCAGGAGATCCTGTTCCCTGATTTCCATGCACTCCTCCTGGAACACTGAATCCTCAAGTTACAAGGACCCTTCAAAGTCATCTTAAGCCACCCACACTCCTTCCTCAGTACAGTTTTGCCCAAATTGTTCATAGAGATGGATATGTGGTTCCCATTTTTAAGGATCTTCAAGAGACACAATTCTGTGAAAGCTCGTTTTGATGTCAGTTGCCTTCTGTCAGCAAACTCTTCCATCCAGCTTGCTCCGAACAGTGCCTAGTCCCGTGAGCCTGTTCCTTCCTCTTGGCCTGTTGTGGATTCGGCTTCTGCATGGGGTATCTTCTGATTGTCACTCCAGGCCACTCTCCACTCTCCCCACAAAACTGCGTTCCCCCAGGAGGCTGACCCGTAATGACACCCTCTGGCTTCTACTTGGGTTCAGGCAATGGGGAGTTCCAGCAGGAGCATGGGAGAGAGCCAGTCGATGCACCTAATCCCTTGACACCTTCCCCATGGAAATGCCGTAGGCTGATGGCTTCTGCTGGTGGCAGGTCTAGCTCGTCTGGGGTCTTCTCTACAAACATCCTCTTCCAGTTCTGATAACGCTCCCTCCTCTTGCTGCGTCAGGCCTTGGGGCAGAGATGTGCCGGGCTGTTGAAAATCTGGAGGAATCCCCGAGTCTTCGTAACTTCCCTGACTTACTCACACCTTTGTAAGTAGTCCCTTCATTAAATTGGCTAACATTCTCAATACGCGAATGCCATCTGCTTCCTGTGAGAACCATGACTACCATCTAATCCCTTTAACCTTCCTAACAGATAGAGCCGTGAGAACTCGACATTCCGTCGGCCTCACACCTCGTCCTCTTCTGTGCCATGAAGATGAGAGTACACACCTCATGTGACGGCCGTGAGAGCTGAATGTGCTCCACGTGCAGCAGGGCCCGGCACGCAGCGCGTGGGCAGTGAACGCTAGCTGCTAGCATTAGCATCTTTGGGGGAAAGTTAATGATATGTCATAGGTCTCGAAAATACTTTCCGTCTCTCTGGATCTTCTTGAGTTATAGTCACTGTGACGCTGTCTCTAGTCATGTAATTTCACCACGTGTTGAGATTGTACTTGATGCATTTAAGAGTTGAAAAGAAAAGAAATCCAAATGAGCTGTGCTTTTGGACCTCCCTCAACCATCCTTCAGAACGTTCTG